ATTTGTTAAAAGCCCTCCATGAAGTGTTACTGGGTGACATTTCAAGACAAATTCAAGAACCACCTAATATTGGATGGAACTTCTGACTTTCATTTAGTAGTGAGGTATATTCATGACAGTAACAGGTATTACTGCTCAAATCCTTCATTTCTGTGTTCACAAATTCTTACATTTTGGTTCATATATTACAGACAGGAGGTCTGGATATAGATTTTATTCACAAAATAAGAGAAATTCAAAGTCACATGCAAAATGAACATGACACACTGTTCTTAATTCTCTTACAAAAACCAGGGAAATCAAGAAGGCAAAACCTGACACAGGAAATTCTGCAGAAGAGAAGTACAGAAAACGTCTCTACAAAATTATTGATAACCAAATCAGTCATCCATCAGCTTGTTTCTGAAGTACAGAAACATGAATTTTTCTGCTACTACATAAGTGAGAAATTTTACATACATAACTTTAAGGCTATCTTTCCTGAACAGCATATACAAAAGCTGCCCGTGTATTATTTACATTCTTTTCTTCATTAAAACCTTGAAACTAACAGTATTAACACTGAATCAGGAAAATGTATTACAATGGAAAAGAATGAAGCAGGAAGCTCTACAAAACTGCACCAAATAATATTTTGTGAGTGTGAATTAGTTTCATCTGCCTTAGAATACAGACTGTTGATATGCTCTTGCAAACATGGTAATGAATTCTTTGGGTTCTACAAAGGCCAGGGAACATCCTAACTAATTCAGTAAACTGGCAGCTTCCCCAGACCACTCGCCTCCTTCTATTGCCAAGGTTAAGAATGCATGGAGCTTTACCTCCAAACCCCTCCAATATGTCTACATGCAACGTTGCTTACTATAAGCACCAGCAACTTCACTTTCACCATTTATTTCCTACAACAATTGAAGCCAATGTAGTGACTTTGTGAGTGCAGCTTCTAGCTATTATTGTGAATAGCAAAATCCATTCCATCCTCACATTTACCTTTTCCTGCATACCAAGAATAAATTTAGCTTCTAAAAATATTTTGTACGCTCAATGAGGAACATCCACATCAGTTCCCTAATTTACAACTACATGAGGCTAATACAAATCTCTTGTCAAGCAAAATCTCCGGTTATAAATGTCTATAAGAGTACGCAGTTATTTACAGACATTTCTACGGCAAACATGAATTTGAGTACTGTCTTCAAAATTACTAGGTATGTATGTTCCTGAAAACTGTTCTGAAGGAGGTCAAATTTTGGAATCTCTGGTGTGCGTTTCTGACACAATAAAATGGGAATTTCATTACAGCACATGCAACCTATCAAAATCCTGGATTCTAGTTAATCCGTTGATATTCATCTTCCTTTATGTCATAGCAGACTAACGCATCTCCAGCTTTGAAACCGATGGTACCATCTGCCAGCTGAGGACTACATTCAACATCCTTCTTCATTTTTAAAGTGGCACATGGGAGCCAACAGTCATAATAAACTACTGTTCATACATTCTACTACGTATTATGCGGAAAATTTCAGAAGTGCATGAAATGGCATTCAACAGATCTGTTAGACTTTAATATACGGAATGCATGCCTTCACTGCAGAGTATCATCATCCTCTGTGTCAGGTAAAATATGTGTACTCAATTGTAGAGAAATGGAGGAGCATTTCAAAGTTACATGGCACATTATATTTTGTTCTGTTTGAAATTCTCACTGAATATCTACTTACCCAACAGACAACTGAATGTCAGTGCAACAATCAGACTGGCAACCACACGTTCCTTCTTTTAAAAAGTGGCAACAGAGTGAAGTGGGTACTAACCATGATAAACACTTCCCTGTCCTCTTTGTAATTCGTATTTGCTCATTTTCTTCAGAATCCTTCCGTACCTCTGCAACCAGCCACGTGCACCTTGTTCCTTCCATCTGTGGTTTCAAAATCTTGAAGGACATTCGCTGAACCTGGGTAACACAAATGGAGAGCTCACATGAACCACGTCCAAACACACCCAATTCTTAGCTGTGCATCCCAAAAACAAATAAGACAGACTGACCGTGAAACATACTACAGTACAGTCCCTGAGTGATAAGCTTCTTAAGTTCACTCACAATCTCGTGGAGAGCCTTTATAAATACACTCCATCTATCTGTACGCATGAACAACTTAACAACAGGTAAACAGGCACAGAAGAGGAAATCATTTGAATAGTGTTACTACAAAGGAGATGATAAGATCTGCTTTGAATTTGACCAAATGCTGTCAGCCTCTCAAAGAGACTGATGGAGCAGCAGTACAAAGTTTTTGCTCATCTTCATCTCTATTTTCCAAAAGGTTTCCTTCACAAAATTCTCTGTGTATTCAGAATGTGCCAAAAGGAACCAAGCATCTCAAATGTGACTATCCTAAGGGAACACTGACTATCAAGTCCTCTATGAATTCATGCTGCCTCTTGTCCAAAACACATAACTAAGTGATCTATATCCCACCCCCTCTAAACCATTCCCAAATTTGGAATTACTGACCTGCAGCATAAAACATTCCAAGGGTTTTATAACGGGTAACAAAAAGGCCAACATTTTAATTATGACAGCTTACTCTAAGATAGAAAATTAATTCTCCTGTCAACTCACAACAGCAGAAGAATATTAAATCTAGCAAATTAAATTATAATGACTGCAAGAACTAAACTGTTATTTCAATTAATTTTCATACAAAACAAGAACTAATGAGTAAATTATCAACTTTTCAACTTTACCTCATGTGGCCAAGAATTTCATTTATGAGACAGAATGCACACTCTCAAAGTGCAGAATGACAAACATTACACTGGCACAGGGCTTCTGCAATCTCACACAGGCTGCAAACCACAGCGACAACCTCAAATTCAGCACATTCTGAAATTTCACTGCAGAGTAAAATATCTGCAAACAGGACACAAACCTAGGTCCCCGTGAACAACAAAATCGTGTGTTACTGCCAGATTACAAACTTCCTACATTCACAGTGGGAAAGTATAACTTCATGTTTCCTGGTACTTTGCCACAACAAATCTATTAGAGAATGTGCGGCTGAACTAAATTTAACATGATACTCTGCGCTACTGTGATGTAGCACCATTGTTTGGGGGTGTCCCGTACCCATTCTTGACAGCATCATGTAAGGCGTCACTATAGGGGAATCGGTGACCACGCAGGGGATCAGTTCCGACAGTCTTTGAATAATTTGCGGAGTTCTTCATGTTCTGGGACGACAACTGCTGGATCCCTTTTTCACTGTTTCGTTGTCACATGCGAAGCCTGTCACCCAATTGAACACAGTTGCACGTGCAGTAACTGGGGTTCACCGTGCTTCCACACCCGCCC